TATACTTTGTTTTGTATTTGATGTACACCAATGGAAGCAACTCAAAAACAGTATTAAAAATCCGGAGTACGGCACGTAAAACGCCAGATAAACTTTTTATAAGTCTGCCAGAAAATAAAAGCCGTCGCTTTTTGTTAACATTATGATCAGGTGCCACTTTAACCAGAACACCTTAAGTTATCAATGCCAATATACTTTAAAACCAGCACTTAGATTTCCACTAGCTTAAAAATATCTTTAACTTTAAGCTGATTGCAATACCATATTGAACATACCTTTTAGCTTTAACACCGCGAACCTCAGCAAAAGAAAAACTTTCAGTGTTTTGCATGTAAGATGTCACCATATCCACTAAAGGTAAGTAGTCAGATTGACCTTTTCAAAAATCGACCTGGGTCATTTTCAAAACTTTCTTTTTGGTACTGAACAGAAGGTACCAAAAGCAAGCGACAAGATCAAGACTAAAATTAAAATTAAAACCACCAAGACGAACGCGTTATTGTTCTCTGATGACTTCTCTATGCTACCGCGCGGCTAGCCAGCGAATTGATGTCACAACTGGCCACAGCCAATGACAGCGCGTTTCAAAGAGGATTTAAATTTTACAATTTTTAATTGCTTATACTTATTACATAGAACTACGATTTTTTTTTGTGAACTGTGTTATAAACTTACTTTTATAAGCAATGTTTTTAGAATAAAAATTGTTCCCTGTTCTAAGCTGTTTAGTTTGCGAAATAAACAAATTCAGTTTGACTTGTCGAGTCTTTTTTGGATGTTCATTCATTTAAAGTTAACAGCAGGTGTTGTTTAAATTAATCATCATTCGAGACACATTTAAAGTAATTTGCCGCCGCTTTGCTTCTAACAGAACGGCCGAAATGTAAAATCGTAAAGCGAATGGAGCGTAAACAATTTTCTGTGCCCACTTTCTTTAAAGATAAGCATAAAGTTAAATGTTGCGTGGAATGCGTTTTATACATTGTCTATATGGTATCCACCCGTTCGGGACCGACGATAGTAAATTTGAATTTATAAAAGAATATCCTTCATCACGGAGGGACGCTTGTCGGATGGTGCTTGTAGGTACGATGAATTTAAAATGGCGACAGAGTAATTTTTGTCCCGCGTCAAACAAGTCATTCGGAAACTTCCTACGTACATAATAGCGTATATCTAAGTCACTAGTCGTTTAGCTTTTTTTTTCTGAATACACAGCTTTCAAAAAATAATAAAGCCGTTATATCTGAGATGAACAACGCGGTTAATTTTATAAATAAATATTAGGAACAGCAGTCGGTTGTTCATTATAAGTCACGGCAAGTATATATTGAGAAGAAAGCTTTTGACACATCGCGCTTTATGGTCAAAATTCCCTGCGATATTTCCAATTTGCTGACGTTTCGCCAATCATCCTGTTGGCTTCTTCAGAGCTTGACTGAAACTGGCTCGTATTTTATTCTGTATCTGCTTATATATTGTTTGAGGGGGGTGGAACTAAATGAGGGGCATAAACACCGTCTCGAATGGCTGATTCCCATATTGGTGACAGGTAGAAACCCGGTCAAGATTTTTCGATGGTAGAAGAACTGATTGCATGCAAGAATTTTAGTTTCATGACTGTGTTCGGCAACAGCTGATGAGTTTATTTGTCTTAGTTGCAAGGCTCTTTCCTTCTTTCAGTCCAGTTGATATTTTTCGTCCGGTCTCTCCAATGAATTATTTGCAGCATATGCATGGAATGCTGTAAGCTCCTGGCGTCTCAAATAGAATTTTGTCTTTGACGGACCGAAGATGTTGAGAAATTTTTGGACAAGTGGTAAATCTAGTTTTGACGTTATATTTCGTTACAACTTTTGATATATGTTCTGAATGTAAGGAAGGACCACAGCGGCAACTGTAGGATTGCTTTCGGCCTCATTGTTATTGGAAGGTTATGGTGAAGTTTATTTTTTGATGGAACGATTTATATCTTTAATGTGGAAATTATAAGAGAGAAGAGCACAGGTAAGGTGTTTTAATTCTGGTTTCAGTGACTCGGGCTGAGATAGTTTTACTGCGCTGTAAACAAACTGATGATTTTTGGGCCGGTCGGTGATGTGACCATGCATTAAGGTATCGGTCTGTGTCCTGTAAGCACAATGACCCAATGTTAGGTCTGATTTTCTATTGATAAGGATATCTAAGAATAGAAGGTTATTATTAGTTTCCAACTCAATGGTAAAAGGTATTTTAGGATGTATAGAGTTTAAATATCTAAGAAAATCTACTAGGGTTTTTTGGTCTCATGGTCAAAGAACACGAAAGAGCCTTACGACTAAGGCAAATAACCTCATCAGCTGTTGCAGAACACATTCATGAAACCGGACATAAAATTTTATTGGATAAAACTAAAATTCTTTCATGCAATTAGTTCTTCTAGCAACGAATAATCCGAGAGTGTATAGAAATCTATAAACAACCTAACAATCTTAACCGCGACTCAAATCTCTACATCCCACCAATATGCGAATCAGTCATCCGAGACGGTATGTATGCCCCTCATTTAGCTCCGCCCCCCTCCAGCAATATATAAACAGGTACAGAATTAAATACGAGCGAGTTTCAGTCAAGCTCTGAAGAAGTCAACAGGATGATTGGCCAAACTTCAGCAAGTTCGACTCAGCAAAAACCGACGCAGGAGGAATCCAGAAGTATTGTAAAAACTATTCCTGACACCCTAACATACATTTTACCGTTGAATTAGAATCTCATAATAATCTCCTAGTCTTAGATATTCTTACTAATAGAAAATTAAACCTAACATTGAGCAATTCAGTTTACGGAAAACTATTTAAGCTCCCATACACCCTAACATACATTTTACCATTGAATTAGAATTTCATAATAATCTCCCATTCTTAGATATTTTTACTAATAGAAAATTAAACCTAACAGTGAGCCATTCAGTTTACCGAAAACCTACGCATATAGACCGATATTTTAATACGTTGTCACAGCACTATGCTTTGCAATGGTTACGGACCCATAAGCCAATTAGATATATTAAGTGTTCGATTACAAAATACACTTTATTACAACCTCCCAAAGAAAGTGGGTGCTAAAACAACCCCTCAACTTTAAAGAAACAAACTCATCTGTGTTTGCCGAACATAACATAAAACCTCACACCAAGTCTTGTTCAACCAGACTAAAATTCTTGCATGTAATCAATTCTTCTACCAATGAAAAATCCGAGAATCCATAGAAATCGCCATACAATCAAACAATCTTAACCACGGCGCTTTGCCTATCACCAATATGTTCTTCTCCCTCCTTTAGCTCAACCTCCCTCAAATAGTATATAAACAGATACAGAGTAGAAACGCAAACCAGTATCAGTTAAGCTTTGAAGAAGCCATAATTTGCGAGAACTCAGCAAGTTCGATTGATCACGACGTAGGAGGAATCCAGAATTTTTTAAAAATTGTGTTGTAACGAATATACCCACAAAGTGATCAATCTAAAATCGACGTTCGTTACCTTACCAAAAGTAAATCACCCAAAGCGTTATGAAGACTGCCGAATAATCTAAACCTAGACTTTAAAGATAAACATTTAATAACAAAATTATACAGGAATCAAATAGCAAATGGGTTGGTAGACTCTCAGACAACGAATTATGTTGAGATTCAGCGAGGAGTGCATTCTCTCACCATTGTTGTTTAATATATACTTGGAGCACATTTCCAAGCAGGCTTTGGAGGACATTCATGTGAGTATTAACATCTACGGAATCCTCATCAATAACATCGGATAAGCGGATCATAACTTATTGTTGGCAGAAGCACTTGAAGCCTGCAGACACTGTCGAACATCACCAATGAATATTGCTTAGAAATGAACATCAAAAAAACAATGTATATATGGTAATTGAACGCGAACAGCACACTCAAATATCAATAAGAATTGGAAATGAAGAGATACAGCAAATTTACTGATATAAATACTTGGGCGTAATCATAGACTGGAGACAAGAAACGGAAATCAAATGTCTAAGCCAGAAAATTCTTTATGAAAATGAAGATGTGGTCATATCGTCCCATGCTAAGCATATATCGTGGACCTACAAGATACGGAACAAAGAATTTCTACACAGGATGAATACTCAAACAAATACGATTTATTACAACTGATAATTCAAGGAAAAATAAACCGTAAGAGGGTCCCTGGACGCAGAAAAGATTCCTGGCTGAAGAATTTAAGGACACGGTCTGGAAAAGTAGCAAACTAAATTGTTCCGAACAGCAGCTTCGAAAGAAAAAGGTACCCGTGATATAAAGAGTAATCATACTAGGATATTAGACTCTTATCGCTATTTCACTGGATGGAAAAATTGTCAATCTGATATAATAAGGAGTTGACAAAAGTTCCTGAATATCTACGGTCACGAAAGGATGATCGCACCTGACTATAAATCATTAACTTGGTTTAGTCTCTATCATCTGCTGATGATGCTGACTTGCTTAGCGAAACCCGCCTCCACAATTTGTGTTGTCGTTGTGGCTGTAAACTAGTATCGATTTCCCACCACAGGTTCGATTCATAGCATGTGTTTTCAATGAAAGCGACAAAACATTGCCCGCTGCATCACAATTGGATTTAACAAATATTACGTTACTTCTATAGAGTCGTCACATCACAGAATGCACCGCATCAAATCACCAATAAACTATTACAAATTTCCGTCTCTTTTATATCGTTACAACTGTTTCACGGTTATCAAATTTCCTTTGTTATCAATATGCAATCGCGATTCAACGTGTTTTCGCCAAAGATCAAAGCGGATGCATTGTTCCAAACCATCCAATTATGCACCATTCCAGGAACATATTGTGCGCCCTTATACTTATTCTATTCCGTTTTATTTCGAACGGTGGATCTCTCTTACTGCAGCCGACCGAACTTAAAAAGCAACCCTTTTTGCATGAACTCGCCCAAATAAGCTTCTACAAACTTACTATTAGATGAAAAACCCCTCGAAAACGCTCTTTGACTCGGATAAAAATCGGAACAATGAGTATCCGACTTTTTCTGTGTGGTGGCTCATGTTTGCCGCTACCCCGCCGTTCTGTTTCATAAAAGATAAAATCTTCGCTTTTCGGTTGAATGGAAATGGTTTGAAGATCGGGTACTCACCTGAAATGAAAATAAAACAAGTAAATACATTACAGCCGTCTAGCATTTGGAATAAGTGCCGGTCTATTGGATTTTGAAAACTGACGCCCCTCAAAAGAGCCCCGCAACATAATTACGGTTTAATTAGTAGCTTTTGGAAATTTGACGTATGCTGCATCGTCAGGTCGCTTCAATCTATTAATGCTCATGGCGTGGAGATAACGTAACAAATATTTTTATATAAAAATACATTTATACATAATTAACAAATTTCCATATCACTGATACTAAGAAGTTCAAACCAATGAATAAATTTATTCTTTACTTTTAATCCAGTTATATTGTTAGGTATGAAATTTTTTTAAAATTATTTTGATTTTTATTGGGTTCGCGTTTTATGATTTTGGATTAGCTTTTCCAGTAGTGGATAGAGCTAACTTTGACAACACGTGTGATTCAAGCAGTAAAGAGGATGGTCCACCAGAGAGACTTGTAATAAGGGAAAGCGATGCTTTGTTTAATAACAAAAAATTTAAAAAGCGATTTAGAATATCTAAAAATACTGTGCAGGAACCTGCTCACATAGTAACTGATACGCTGTTCGTTGGAAGGAACATATTATAGACACTTTTTAAATATTTGTAGAAGTGAAAAATTCATAGTAGAAATTTAAATGTGAGAAAAATTTGCACTTTACGCTATGGAGATGTCAACTGTTTATACTTCTGTCTATTTTTTCTAGATTCTAGATCTAGGTGAGGTTCCTGACCGGACTGTTATATCCCAAGAAACATTTTGAAGTCAAAATAGTTTTAAATATGTTTTACGATGCTCTGTATTTATTTTAGGTGTCTTAAAACAGCTTCAATATAAACATTTTACACTTAAAGCAATTTATATGTTTACATTTATTTTTATATTTATATATATTGTATCAAAGATTATCATCCTATAAAAATCTAAATTGGAGTGAATTGTTTGCTAAAACATGTTTTTATCTTCAATTCAGTTGTCATATTCCAATTTGAAAATAATTTATTGCCAAATTAAAATTTGCACCTCTTCGGATTTATAAATAAATGAGTTATTTCCAAAGGGGTGCTTATTTTCTCGAGCCATTATGAGCCCTTTTAACAGTAAACTGATTTTTGTACCTGTTTCTTAATGCTTTCAGTAACAAATATGCATATAGTCGAAGAAATTAAGACATATTATGCCAATGATATATAATATATACTTTAGTATATATGCAATATATGCAACTTATACAAAATTATGATTTAACATTGGCCAAAACAAAAAAGATTTGTATGGAGTTTAGGCAATTTTAATATTGACTAAAGCGTAGTTTCAAAACTATCTCAGAGAGGCTGTGCAATAGAAAGTGGATAAACATATATGAGCTCGGGTGAAGAAGATTTGACATTTTTCAAGATGTACTTAAAACCACCTCATGGTGGTTTTAAGTACATCTTGAAACATCTTTAAGTGGTGAGAAAACCGCAAATGTTTCTTGGGAAATCGGGATTGAAGACAACTTGCCTCATATCTCTGAAGGTGGAATTTACAGGTAAAATAAAAAATAATATCTACAATTTTTAGAATAAATAAACAGACTTTTTGTACTGACAAGGGCCATCCATTGTCTTAATCTCTATAAATTTACGAAATTTAAATACTTCAGAATCATTTCAGCATGCAATATCGTAGAAAATCGGACCTTCAACAATATGGAGCGTTAATTGAAATTTACTTATTCTTTTTCTGTGTCCCACTGCTGACAGCCAGCCAGAATTTTATACTAAACATCTTTTTCTTTTCGGATCGTTTCAAAATCCTTGCGAACTGAGTACGAAGAGAGAAAACAAATTCATTAGCTTAATTGACTTCTGCTCATATGAATACCAAAGACCCTTGCTCCGGGCCATAACAAATAAACCTTTCCGATAACTGACATATCTGATGACCTCCATATGAAGAAGACCCATCAAAACAAACTTAAACGTCCATTGCCTCAGAAAATCTTATTTCCCTGCAGCGTCCTTTGTTTGAACAAGAGTTTTGTTTACCAATCGCATATTTGCACACCCCGGCATAGAAGGACCGGAACATTTACCAACTCTCGGGCAAAGATGACCGATGTTTCGGTATAAAACGGCCGTTGCGGCAGCCTCGTTCTAAGAGGCCCTCCAAATCGTGTTTGAGTTGTGTATACAGCGCCCTCGGTCGGTGTTTAAAGAATAGCAAATTAATTTGGGTTAATCTACAGCTCGGAAAGTTTGCCAGCGTCAAGCAGGGGGCGCCGGTTGCACTCCGTTAATTCGGTTTTGTTTGGAGTGGTCCACCTGGCTGTTAAGATTGTATTGGAATTGCGGGTTTTGTTTGGCGAGTTAATCAAGCTGGGCAATGCGGAAAAGAAACGATTTACGACCTGAGACGTTTTATCTATTTCATAAAGTAACGGAAGAAAAGTTTTCGTGCTTCTAGTTCGCACTGCATATCTACTATTGAATAATGCAAGTCCAACTTACATATATGATCTGAGGAAGTCCATTGAAGATCTGCTTATCTGTACATAATGAGATTATTTAATGTTCTCATCTCCTGAAGTTGTCCTTGGATTTTAAAAGCGGTTTCGAAATAAGAGAATCGCTGTCTGGCATCCAGATTCTCCTGCCTGCTTCGGACATTACGAGAAAGCTTTGGACATTGTTCAACATGATAAGTTGATAGCTATAATGTACGATATAGGCCTGGATTGTCCAGGTATTCGGATAATGGCCAACTTGTATCGGAATCAGACAGCTGACATAAGACTTAACGACCAGACATCTCAAGAAGTGCCTATTATGAGAGAACTTTGAGGAGGCGAGTGTTGATATCCCTTTTATTTAATTTCGTTTAATTTGTTATGTTGAAGGCAGAAGAGAAGTATATCATCTAATCATTAACAATATGAAATCCACCGACCTCTTACTAGCAACAGACAAAGATAATTTATAAGCGCTCGTGTCAGCAGTAACAGACCATAGCCAAATGCTATGCAAAAGGATAATCGTCAGCAAAAACAAAAATATGGCTAGTACCTCAATGTGTTAAAAACAGAGTTTCAGTCTTCGTCATATTATTCTACGTTACTTATTGAAGAAAATTTAAGATATCGTGGGTAGACAGAGTGACTCATGAAACGGTTCTGCAGCGTATGAACAAAGGAAGGGTACTTGATAACATAAAAAAAGACAGCTGAAGTATTTTACCAGTGCAATAAGTTAAACAAAACATTAATTGTGTGGTCCTAGTCGCCAAAGAACATCATGGGTCAAAAATCTTGGCCAGTGGAATGGAGCAAACACCACGCCATTGTCTGCTATTGTTTTTCTTAAAGTGGTCCATTTTATTATCTATTGGTACTTAACTTTAAAGAGATGTAAGAAAGGCAGGAAACCCTATTGACATCTGGACGATGCAAATAGCTGTCGCTTTTCATGGTATATCGTCAGTATCTCACAAGTTTTGATCTTTGGAAATGATGTAATTGGTTGGTAAATTTTTGGTAGCCCTGTGTTGGGAAGAAATAGTATGCGGAAAGCTGAAGGACCCTCAAAAGTCCAAAACTCAAAGCAGTAGTGACTAATGAGCTGCATAATATGAGGCGCCTTTTTATTCGGTACTCTTGTGTTTCATGCTGATTGCCTCGTTTTTCCTTATTGGATTTGTTTGCCTTTTTGAAAAACACAATCATTGATTACTTCAAACCAGAATATTGCGAAAACAGTTGCTCCTAGCGACTTCTATTACGACTTCTGCACCTAAAAATACTCAAGCAATTCATATTCTTCATAAAAAATTTAATACTTTTTTTTTAGAAATCTGCATTATATACAAAATTATACAGAGCAAACTGTAATAGACTTAAAAGTTTATCACCCTGTACCGCGAAAACGAAGCATTTTGGACCACATATTTATAGAAACTTAAAAATACTTGAAAAATAATTGTGTATTGGACACTTACTAAATAACGCCCTGTATACATTATTCATTAGCACCAGCGTGAACTTGGTAGGTATTATCAACCACTTAGTGAAAAGGATGAGAAACCCCTTTTCTCCTAAAAAATGCTAAAAGTTGAAAATTGAGAAATAAATAAACCTTTTTTATTAGACTTATCCGTGATAGATATTAAAAAAAAACATTACTAGCGATTTCCATCTAATGTGTATTATTTAGGTAGCCGTTTTGCTGTATCCTTGAGTAAAAATAGTCAATTATCGAGTGAATGTGTGATTTTATTAAAATTAAAAACATTTTTCAGTACTGAAGAAAAAGTGGCAAATGTGATAAGGGACTCCCTTTCGTAAATTGAACTGATTAAACTTCTGATTTGTTCCAAAAATTAATCGTCAGCCTTTTGCGATATTAGTAGCTGACCCCGCACGATGCTAAATCTTATTGCCTCGATTATCGCTATCATTACTTCATCCTGCCGAAAGATCCGTTAATATCCTTGACCGCGGATTTTGCCACAAGTCGATATCTTTGTGAGATTTGCATATCGCACGAAATTAAAGATGGTTGTCCTTCCACTGTCCTTGGAACAACGACATGTGTTTAACGAATTGCATCGATCCGTTACCCTTTGTAATTGCGGCGCAATATATTAAACTTACTGCAGCAAAACGGGGCAGGTTCATTTTATTCATTCCAGCAATAGTAAGCGCTATATATCCGCCTGTTTCGCCCTATCCATTTTCTTAACACGTAAATTCTACGCCACAAAAGCTAAATGATGATATCCAGAGAGATTTATATATTGATTTATTCCGTATTACCTGAGAACACGCTAGTTATTTCTTTGAAATATACTGACCGGCCCGCATGTTTCTTGCTACATTGGAAAGCTAATCTAGATGAGGGTGGAACGCTGCAAAAGGGTGGAGACCTTTAAAACTTTAACTTTTGATCGTACGTTTTAGTCTTACATACAAACGCTTATCATCGGAACATTATTTTCATTTATTTAAAATAGATTTTGGTTTATTTTGTTGATGTTAGAAACGTTTTAATAAACGGTTGTCGAAACTCTTTTTGCGTAATATTTTGCTATACCATGGTGTGGCAAGGTTGAAAATTCATTTCCTCATTCATGAAACATGAAAATTCGCGAGTCGTTCACTAAGAGATATTTATTTATTTATTTATTATTTAGCGTCGTACAGTGCTTTCAAAATTTGTGATAGATACCTTTTCGACCCACATATCGATCCAACGTTCGTTCAATTTGAATCATTACATGATAGTAATAAATATTGCAATTTCAGAACTATCCTATGTATATTTTTGCACAAAACTAATGTAACTTGCCTTCCAGTTTGATCTATTTGTGAATCATGTAGTACATATCAATTTTATTATTTCTTCACCTGCACCTCTAGCTATACTTTTTTACAGGCTATTATAAATGTAATTATATAAACAAACAAAGATAGAAGGCCATCTGAATTGTAGAATGTCTAGCGGTTACACATATGAGAATTAAATTTTTAAGAAAAATCAGAATCATAATATGTATATTTTATTATATAATACATAATATTTGTTATATAATTATATACAGGGCGATTCATAAAGAATGGGCAATATCTAAACTAGACACCGGAATATTACGTCGATGGTTTTAGAAATGCAGGGCATTCAATCTTTAAATTTTATTCTGAATTTTCTTATTAATTGTGAAAGTTTTTATTGTATAATAATAAAAATTGTCGGTTTTTGGTTTTTTGACATTACATTTACGAATTTGAAACTCCTCTCTACGCTCTGGGTTGATATATATATATATATATATATATATATATATATATATATATATATATATATATATATATATATATATATATATATATATATATATATATATATATATATATATATATATATATGCTTTTTACAAAACTTTTGGGTTCCTCCTGCGTCGGTTTTATATATGATATCCTGCAGACGTTTTGTTAAGATTTATATGTATTTATATATATATATATATATATATATATATATATATATATATATATATATATATATATATATATATATATATATATATATATATATATATATATATATATATATATATATATATATATATATATATATATATATATATATATATTATATTTCACTTTTCAAAAATAACTTTTTAAAAAAATATATTTATTAACTTTAAATTAAAATAAAAATCAAAATGAAATTGGACGTAATAACCTCGTGACGAGAGAATGTTATTAGACCGTTAAAATACAAGTAAAAATGGACATAATAACCTCGTGATGAGAGAATGTTATCAGACCGTTAAAATCAAACTAAAAATGGACATAATAACCTCGTGATGAGAGAATGTTATCAGACAACGTTTTACAATAGAAATTCGTATTTATAATAAATTTATGCTGACGTTGACGGGGTCGACGGCTGCGGATGTTGCGACATATCGTTGACACGACGTTTTCGCAATCGTTGCACTCTTGCAGGTCGGTGGCATTTAACCCATGTGGACAATAGGATTTCCGGATATAACAGCTCCCCCATTAAGCTTCAGGGGTTTCAACTCTGGGGGTTGAAACTTCTCTGGAATGTGAGAACAGCAATCATATGGAATCTCCACGGCGTGGCTCTTGTAGGTCACGTTCTTATATTCTTCGACAAAGTATTTAGCTCGTACTCTGGAGCTTCGAATAAATGCACTGCAATCTGGTTGTAGTTTAAGTAAAGAATTAGTTTTTAACGTTTCGGCTACGAGGTCTCTTTTTCCACATTTAATGGAGATTGGTAGTGGTTCGGATACGGTAATTAACCAATAATTAAAGTCGATTTCTATAACATTGTAATCGGAGGCCAAGACGATTGAAGATTTACATGTAACAGGAACACGATCGGAATGTCTAAGCAACTGCGCTTCGCAAAGGGCTTCTCTATCGATGGGATATTGCATTAAGTTAAAACAGATTCTTTCTTTACCGCGAATTTGTTTGCAGCTTTTTAGATCTTCAGGTAGTACATAGAGTAAAGAATCGTCATCACGCGCAATATATTTTATTGTTGATGGAATTATATGAAATAATCGTGTTCGATTGTCCAAAATTGGAATAGGTAAAACACGATACATTGTGTATATTTCAGGCTCAATTAAGGGTATTCTTAGTACAAAAACAACTTTATTTTCAGTTTGAAATGCTTCTAGCTCCATAATATCTACGTACCTTGCAATGCTCGAAGTATAGGGTGGTAGTGGTAAATTATTTTTTGTCAAGGATTTTGAAATTTCCTGAAGAGAAATGACTAAATCTCGTGGGTAAATAATAGAACTATGTAAAACTTTGATTCGTGCGAACGTGATTGCGTTTAATATATCGCTGAGGTAAGACTCTAGGTATACATAACTTTCCATAAGGCTTTCGCAAAGATTAAGTGTTTTAATCTGACTTTCGTAAAATGCTACGGTGTCCGAAATATCATAGAGAGATTTTTGAATTTGAGTTAGATCCTGATTGAAAGTTTCTTCGTCGATTCGGAGACTTTGAATTGTAGAATTAAAAGATTTTATAACAGATGATGTAACCGATATTTGATTTTTTAACAGCTTTTCGATTTCGTGTTCGTCTTTAGTTACTTTATCTATGCATTCATTAAAGTATTCGCCGTCTGTAGAGTCTAGGTTTCCGGTAATTGATTTAAAAATAGTTCCTACACCGTTAATTAAACCGCGTTTAGTTCTAAAATTAAAATTTTCAGTGTCGATAGTAATTTCTGAAAATTTTTCTTCGACTGAGTCAGCAATTCTGGTTAGAAGACTAAAATGAGTTTGGATACTTGTTTTGAAGGCTGTCATACGAGGAGAAGAATCGTCTAACATTTCTGTGAGAGAGGAAAGTATTTTATTATTATGTCGTATGGCTTCTCGCAGAGGTTCTAGTTCCTTATATACTAGCAGCGTCCATTTGTTGTTGGATGTTCTTAAACTACTTTCTTCATGGTAGAAGATGCCTACTGTATTATTTACTGGAGTAATGAGGAATTGGGGTGCGACTGTAGAGATCAGTCCCAAGATCCTGAAAGAAATTTAATCTAATCGTAATAAGGTTTAAACTTGTCAAAATTGAATTTTGAAACTTGTTCGGTAGTTAAATTTTTGACAGTGGCTGAAGTTTCAAATACTTCAAGAATTTCATACGGACCGTTAAATTTATTCTGAGCTTTATCGCTAATTTGAGTTTCCTTAACATAAACTTTATCTCCTACATTATATTTAGTCATATTTCTAGAGATTGCTTGATCAAATCTTACTTTGGATTTTTGTTTTTGTTGATCAGTGCGGGTACGCGCGACTCTGTAATAATGCTGCATGCGATTATTTAGGTCTCGGATGTATTTGGTGATGAGTTGTTCTTCATTATACAGAATTTCTGGAGGTCTACTAGAAGTGTGCCCAAATATTAGTTCATAAGGGGAAAAACCATGCGTTTTATTCTTTGTGTTGTTGTAGCAGATTATTGCGTATGGAAGAGCATGAAAGGGGTGTTCTTTTGGATTTTCGGCTTTATGAGCTCGGATCATTTCTGTGAGCGTGGCATGGAATCTTTCTAGTGATCCATTAGATTGTGGGTGGCTAACGCTGGAGAAAGTTAACTTTATATCGTACAAAAGACAAAGATCTTTGACGAGGGCGTTATCAAATTCCCGGCCATGGTCACAATGTATTCTAAGAGGAGTTCCAAAATGTTGGAAGTAGAGAAGAAGGGTAGTAACGATTGTAGAAGCTTTTTTGTCTTTTATTGGATATGCCTGGGTGAATTTTGTGAGTTCGTCTCTTATGGTAAGGGCGTAATTACGAACTGGGAATTCGAAAATATCGATGTTAATGCGCTCAAAAGGAGTTTTAGGAGTTTCTGTGATAACTAATCGTGTGTTGAGGTTTTTACGATAGATCTTGACTTTTTGACATATTTCGCACTTTCTAATATAGTTTTCGACATCTTTGGTCAAGGTTGGCCAATTGTATTTTTGCTTTATGCGCTTAACTGTTTCGTTGATTCCGCGATGTAAATTATTTTTTCCTGAATGGTATTGGTCTAAAATGATAGGGATTTCGTCTTGATCGGGAGTTCGAACTATATCTTGGCAGATTCTTAGTTTTATATCCTTTTCGGAAAATATAAAGGAGAATACTTCTAATATTGGAAGTTGTAAATTATTTTCAATACAATACAGTTTTGAAAGATCAAAGTCATTTTTAGCTGTGAATAAAATATAGAATAAATGTTGAACTACAGTTTCATTGTCATATGGAAGAGGGATTATATAATATTTCCTGCCTTTGACAGTTTTGCTAGAAAAAATGTTAATTTTGTTAAACGTAAAATTCATATCTTCTTCAAAAATATCGTCCATTATTTTGTTATGCAAATCATCAAGTTTTGATTGCCAAAAGAAAGTGACAATATCTTTGTGGTTTTTGTCGAGAAGTTGCGAATTAGAGGTTTCTATTTTGGAATAATCTATAAGGGATGTGGTTTTGTGAAGGTATGCGAAGTTGTTGTATTCTTCTGTAACTTCCGCTGTGTCGTCTTCGATATCTGAATTATTAGAATTGTCAACGTGAACGATTTCTTCTTTACTTGTGGATGGTCGGTTGTGAATGTCATCGTTATTAGATGCAAGGATAAAAATTTTCTTTTGGAGATCGACACAATCTTGAATATGGTTAATTTTAACACGGGATAAAGCGTCTGCGTTTTTATTTATTTTACCGGGCTTATACACAATGGTATAGTCGTATTCTTCAAGCTTAAGACGCCATCGAGCTAAACGACTACCAGGATCATTTATCGAAAATAGCCAAGTTAAAGGACGATGATCAGTAACGAGAGTAAATTTTCTTCCGAACAGATAAGGGCGGAAGTATTTAACTGCCCATACTATGGCGAGAAGTTCCCGTCCTATAGTTGAATATTTCGTCTCTGCACTACATAGAGTTCTAGAGGCATATGCTATGGGAAGGTCTTTTCCAATGGGACCTTGTGAAAGAACTGCACCAATGGCAAATGCACTGGCATCGGTGGTTAGGACAAAAGTTTCCTCGAAATTTGGATAAATGAGTATTGGGTCACGTATTAGAGCGTTTTTAAGCTCATTAAATGAATTTTTGCATTCTGAATTGAATATGAAGGGTGTGTCTTTTTGGAGAAGTCTAGTTAAAGGTTTTGAGATCTTAGCGAAATTGGGAATAAAACGTCGGTAGTAACCGGCTAAACCAAGGAAGGATTTAATGTCTTTTGGTGATTTTGGTTCTGAAATTTTTTGAATAGCGTCTATTTTCTCAGGGTTGGGTTTGACTCCATCTGGGGTCACGAGATGCCCTAAATAAGCTACTTCCTTTCGAAGAAATTCACACTTGTCAGGTTGGAGTTTGAGGTTTGCACCACGAAGGCGTTTGAAGACATCAGTTAACCTTTGTATATGTTCGTGTATGGTAGCGGAATAAACGATAATATCGTCCATGTAAACGAGACATAGTTCGTTTTGAAGACCTAAGAGAATGTTGTCCATGACACGTTGGAAAGTGGATGGAGAATTTTTTAGTCCGAAGGGTAAACGGAGAAATTCAAAATGACCATTTTCAACTGAAAATGCAGTTTTAGCAACGTCCTTGGGATCAATTTCAATTTGGTGAAACCCAGAGGCTAGGTCCAAAGTAGTGAAATATTGACATCTGCCTAACTGGTCTAAGAGATCGGAAATATTGGGAAGAGGGTATTTATCGTCGACAGAGACTTCATTTAGTTTGCGATAGTCGATGACTACGCGCCATTATTGTTTCATAGAAGCGTCTAATTTTTTTGGGACAACCCAAACAGGGGAAGACCATGGAGAAGTGGAAGGGCGAATGATTCCTTGTTCGAGCATTTTGTTGATTTGTGACTTTACTTCTTGTTTGTGGACATGTGGGTACCTATATGATTTGGTAAAAATCGGTCTGGCGTTGTTCGTTTCAATAGTATGTTTAATTTCATTAGTAAAACTTAAATGATCTCCTTCTAAATAGAATATATCAGAAAAATCAAGACATAATTGTGTTATTAATTCTTTTTCTTCTTCATTTAAATGATCGGTGCGTAACTGGGATTGAATTATACCGCGCCTATCAACAGGTTGAGGATTTAAATTGAAAATATTATTTATTTCTTTTTCGTTAGGATTTGTATTAAAAGGTTCGATAGATAAATTTGAAAAATCTATAGTTTTTGGGATTGCATTAGCGTTAATAACAGTAGTAAAAAATTCACCTTTGTTATTTACTTTAACTAAAGCATTAGGTAACCTAACTTTTTCACATTCTTGAGAGTGGAGAATAGCGTCTGTGTTTGTTAAACTACATTTTAATTTGAAAATTCTTTCGGTCCTAGGTTCGATTGAAATTCGATTTTGAATATTTTGTTCAGGTTTTTTACAAATTTGGGGAAGAACAGATTCGTGTCCTACTTTATGCAAAGGCATTGTTTTGAAATTCGTTATAAGTTTTTTGGACTTTAAATCGATTATACATTGGTAGCGATCAAGAAAATCTAAACCGAGAATTCCGTCAAATTCGATGTCAAGATCATAAAGATAGACTTTATGTTTGTCGTTATCGGTGAATGGAATAAGTGTGGATTCTTTAATAAAAAGTGTTTGATTTGTTATACCTTGGATGGTAATATTTTCCTTAACTCGTGTTCTGTAATTTTCAGCGGTTTTATATTTAAAGATAGAAATACCTGCGCCTGTATCTATTAATATTTTGAATTTTTGCGTAGCGTCAAAAATATAGTATAAATTTTTAGTTTTTAGTTTTAGTTTGAGTTTACGTGATGAGTTCGCTGCGGGTTTGGATTCATAAAATGTGGCTTAGGATAAGAGTTTGAAGATTTTATCGGTATTTGATTCGAATTGTTGCTAATGTTGTTTTGTTGGAACCAATTAGAAGGTCGCTGTGGATATTGCGAAAAATTTGGTTTGACATGCTGATGCGTACTTCTACATTGATTTGAAGTATGGCCAATTTTATTACACAAAGTGCATTTAGGTTGCTGAAGAGGGGTTCGAATATTCGCAGAATGCAATTTAGGAGAATTTAATTTGACAGATTTTTGATTTTCAAAATATGAGAGTTGGAGTTCTCGACGAATCCTTGCTTGGGCTTCTAAAAGTGAAGTGGGATTACTAGCACGAATGAGTTGACCTAATCTAGGTTCTAAACCTGTAAGAAGTGTATTAAGGGTCATAGTCTCAATTAAAGATATCTGAGCATCCTTTTGCTCTTTGGATCCTAATGTGGGGGATTTTTGAACACATGAATGCATTTTCGCATTTAGGACTTGAAGACGATTGAAAAATGTTAATGCTGATTCATTGGGCAATTGTTTAAGACGTTGAAGGTCATGCATTAGGGAAGGTAAATCTCTAGAATCACCAAAGTATAGAGTTAATAGTTTCTTTATTTCTAGATATGAATCAGGATTCCTAGAATTAATTAATTGAGCTGCTTTACCGCGGAGCTTATTTTTAATGTGAATCACTAAAAGAATTTTTTGTTGCGTCGTTGCCATATTATAAGCACAATCACACGCGTTTATAAAATTTCCTAAAAAGATTTGGTCGCCCTCAAATTCAGGTACGATACAGAAAATTTCCGAAAGTTTATATGGTTCAACTTCCAGCATTGTACTAGGTTCGTCTGATTGAGTTGCCATTATTTTAGGTTTTAAGAAAAAGCAAATAAATTTATAAGAAGTTCAAACACAATTATTTTTTTGTTTTAAATATTGCCAAGTTAAACTTGGAGACTAAAATTTAATCAAAATAATTATCACGGAACGATTCTACGTTGGGAAATTCAATAAATAGGTAATTTTCAACCTTGGGTAATCGAACGTAGTAAATTCAACAATGTTGCAAATTAAAAATAAAATTATTCGTAACGATTCTTAACACTTACAGTACTATTTTCATTGCTGCCTTTCGAGACGGTTGATGGGTTTATCCTTGTTCCGGTACGATGGGCTGTCTTCGTTGTTCCCTAGATTTAGGGGTCGGAATCTGCCGCCACTAGTTAGAATACTCGTGTTCTAGCAACGTGAACAGATCCTACTCCGAATTCTTGCCTCTCGAAACGGTGATGGAAGGTTCCTTGTTCCGGCACGACTGGGCTGCGATGGTTCTTCTTTCCGTCTAAGGGATTGGAATCCGCCGTCACTAGTTAGAATACTCGTGTTCTAGCAACGTGAACGGATCCTACTGACTGCGCCAATTTTTATATTTCACTTTTCAAAAATAACTTTTTAAAAAAATATATTTATTAACTTTAAATTAAAATAAAAATCAAAATGAAATTGGACGTAATAACCTCGTGACGAGAGAATGTTATTAGACCGTTAAAATACAAGTAAAAATGGACATAATAACCTCGTGATGAGAGAATGTTATCAGACCGTTAAAATCAAACTAAAAATGGACATAATAACCTCGTGATGAGAGAATGTTATCAGACAACGTTTTACAATAGAAATTCGTATTTATAATAAATTTATGCTGACGTTGACGGGGTCGACGGCTGCGGATGTTGCGACATATCGTTGACACGACGTTTTCGCAATCGTTGCACTCTTGCAGGTCGGTGGCATTTAACCCATGTGGACAATAGGATTTCCGGATATAACATATATATATATATATATATATATATATATATATATATATATATATATATATATATATATATATATATATATATATATATATATATATATATATATATATATATATATATATATATATATCCTTCTCTTGGGTATTCGGTTTCTCGAATACAATTAATGTGATTCTTCTAAATATTTATTAACGTTTCGATCGTAATTTCGATCTTTTTCAAAATATTCTTATTTTACATAGGTGAAATATATAACAATTGATGACATTTGACGTTGTATTAATATATTAAAAAAAAAAAAATTGTCAGCGAATACTTTATACGGATTGGAATGGCATGCACAGCAGGTACGGATGTTTTTTATTAGTAAATATATTGGATAATTTAATTTTGTTAGTTTAAAATTGAATGATATATTTTGTTACGGTTCTCTTTTTTTTGGTGTTAGGTTCTGTTAAAAGGACTTTAACTTTTTGAAAATTAAATATATGTTTGTTTGTTTGCTTGTTTCTCCTATATACACACTGTCGCAATTAGAGCATGGAATTTTATATAATATATTACTTCTTTTTTTAATTGGAATTTTTACTTTGAGTTTAGTGAAAAGATATGTTTTTTGTAAATTTTGGAGTTTTTCTGATAATCCAGGTATATATGGTAGCGATATATATTTTCTTTGAGGATTTTGATGTGGATTTTTGTTTATGTTATAAAATATGTTGGTACGTCTATTAAAGATATTATTAATTAAGTTTATGGGATAATTATTTTATACAAGTGCGTGTTTTGCTTTTTCAATTGCGTCTGGTCTATATTCTGTACATTATTGCTCCGTCTGCGAGACCTATTATCACGGATTTTTTTTGGGCTAGGGGATGATTAGATTTAAAATTAAGATAACGTGATGATTTTGTTTTCTTAGTATACCAACTTGTTCTTATTTCATTTTGTATGTGATGTAGGGATAAGTCTAAAAAGTTAATAGTATTTTGGTTCTCAATTTCAATTGTGAATTGTAATTTTTTGTGGAAATTATTGAAGGAGTTTAGCAATAAGTCTGTTTTTCTTTTTGGAACTGCAGTTATGATGTCCTCAACATATCGATAAAAAAAAGGTAAATTGAATTGAATGTTTTTAATAACATTTTCTTCTAGATACTCCATAACAAGTGGTGCTACTATGCTTGAAATTGACATACCCATGGCACAACCTTCGACACATTTTTGTATTGAAAAAATATGGATTTTAGTGTAAAATCTAAAGCCACTAAAAATTCATTGAGAGGAATATCTGTGTGTAGTTTAATTTTGTCCCATTTTGTTTTAATGAATTGTGTGATAAGCTCGAAGGGTATTTTAATATATATATTTTTTAATATATATTTTAAAATAATATTGATAAAAAAACTTCAAATCAAAAGTTGGAATTGTCCACCAACCACCTCAATACATTTTACAATGCACTTAAATGTTTTTGAATGATAAACAAAACCATAGTTCCTAAAGGTATTCGCGTCTCCTTGTATATTCTGCCCGTACTCCTACAAGGAATGAGCTTTTTCAGCGAATACCAAATCCTCCAAGCACGACCCTATTGAGAAGTCCAGAGGGTTTGATGGCCAAACAAGTCGTTGATGAAACTGCTTATGTAATTATTGGCGCACTGGCAACGCAAAATAAATACCGAAAGAAGTTTAGATAACGAGGTCCAGTTAGATTGAATCCCAATTCAAAAGTTGTTGAACTTTGTAAATGCAAATCATTCAAACACCTATAGAATTAGATGGCCTAAACAAGAGTCTATTAAAAATTCTTACAGATTTTCATCATGCTTTAACCATAACTCGACAGATAAAAGTAATATGATTCCATTTATCTAAATAACCTGGTGAAACTAGCGTCCTCTAGGAGCAACGTCTCAATGCGTAATTGTCAAGTGAAAAAATCTAAAACTGCCAATTTTTATTATGAAACATTTGAAATTTAGCTCAATCATAATATTTTAGTGTCTGGTTTCTCCAGCTTAAATATTTCCCGTTCTTTATGAATCACCGAGTATGTTTAAATAAATGGAGCAATTATAGTTCAAGATGAACAATATATCCAAATAATTATATTTTCTGGTTTTAGAAATAAACCATTATGACAGAAAACACTGGGCACTCACCTACAGTTAAAATTCTCATCTTATGATGTCAAATTCTCTCTTCAGAGGTAGGCGGCATTCCTCCTCAGCGTGAAGAGCAAGTTATCAGCTTGTTAACTAAAATTAGATTTAACGTGAGGTATCGCCACGGGCAATTAATTCAGCGTTTCAATCTCCTTGAATTTAAGGGAGAATGGTAGCAAATCTTTACTGGAGGCATTGAAATTTATCCGAAATTTCTATGAAACTTTTCGCCTGCAAGAATTGACTTTAAATTTCATCTCGAACTAATTTGTACTCGGTTCAACGAAAACAAAACACGGAACATTTCTCTAAGTTAATGGTTTTTGTTAAATCGTTACGACGCTGAATGGCAGGGTGGAAAACTTTAAGGAACAAATTCGTTTCACTTGTAGTAACAAAATCCGAACGACCTGTGGTTTTCAGTATATGGAGTCTGCGGATGCTTAAAAGTACAACTTTTTAAGCATTTGATTATTAAACGTTGGATATTTCGATTTTAAGCGGTAAATCTGCTTATCAGTCCCCCAGATGGAAGCTATTGTAAAACAATGCTTCTCTATGAATATCCGGGATCTCCGGAAATAAGGAGCACATAATATAAACATAAACATAAACGGAGATATTTCAATAGGAAGGCATGTTGTGGAGCGATGAGCATTGCAGCAACCAAAATTAGGGTTTAATATACATGAGTTGTATTAATTTTTTTTCAGTATCTATATCATATTTCACTTATCTTAAAGTGGCATTCCTCAAGGAGGAATAAGCTGTCGTAAAAAATTGATCTGCTTGGATACGGGATATAATTAGGCTCCACATTGTATTCTCCTTTCACTAATTATATGCGCAGCATCTTATTTTTGTAAAAGAACTAAAATTAATAGTGAAGCGATTAATCATTGGTTTTATCTCCTATTTAAAATATCTCGATACGTTTCGCTCAACTATATTTTTCTTCGCGTTTTATGTTTGTGCCCTTAGATGTCGAGATAGAATGCGTTAAAATTATAAGCAAAAAATGTTTTGTTATTATTATTATTATATGTTCTACGTAAATCGGGACAATGGTGCATCGTTGCTTTTTGTTGTGTTGTTTTGTATATAAAATTAGTTTTCGACTTTTAAGGGTTCGTCCTACAAGAAAATCACTGATAATCAGTCTCCGATTGTTTTTTTTATTCGCAAGCCCTAAAATAATCGATCAGATATATGTACAGAATATTAAATTTATGTGCTTGTGGAAGAAAAATTTCATGTTCAAATGATCCTCAACGTTTTTTTCTGACGATACTTCCTATCTTCATTTTTTTTCATATTTTAAAGCAACTATTACTATTAAATACCTCAGTATCAATTTAAGTAAATTTTCGTTATAGAATTAAATAGGTTTATCAAGAATAAGTTTAATTTGTACATGAATCGTATTCGATGTAGTTTGCTTTTGTTTTAAAAATATTCACTTTAAATCCATTACTGATGACGTTGAACTGAGGTGGCTTTTACTTGATGAAAATCCATTTATCAAAATAAATAAGAACTAAAAGTTCAGATTTTCACGAAATTATATATTTTCACATGAAAATTGTTTGGACAACACCCTGTCTTTATCAAACGTAATATTTACAAATTACCTGCTACTATATATACCGAAAAATGAGAATAAACCCTTAATTAATGTTGTGAGAATTTAAGTTTAATAATTTAATGATCGTTAAGCAATACAATTGAATGTCTCATTTTGTTAATGTTCATGGCTTCCAATAAATTTAATTTTCAACTTTTTGTGGCTGTATGTAAAATATCAAAATTGTCGTCAAAAATATGTTTTTCTGTGTTTAACTGTGCAGCATAATTAGAATCTAGACTATTGTTTTTAAACGCTCTGCGTTTCTTGAAGGATATACCTGTTTGTCTAATATAAATTTTAGGGCAAGATCCGCATTTCAACCTGTAGACACCTGATTTTTGAGATTTTGGACATTTCGTTTTAGTGTTTTTCAAAAATTTTCCTATTGTGTTGTTAGTTCTGAAGGCTATTTCGAAACCACATTTTGACAAATGTTTTGAAACTTTTTCACTGGGTTCTCCTATTATGTAATTGTTTTAAATTACTGGAGGTCTATATTAGGTTTCGGATAAATAGAGTTTACTGTTGTCTGAATTTGTTTTTTATTTATAATTTTATATATTTAATATTGTTCAGCGCAGTTTGTTTAATGATATTAAGTTCTTTGTTGAAATTTTTTCTTGAGAGTGGCGTATTAAGGAGTCTGTGTATAAAAGAGTGAAATGCAGCTATTTTGTGTGTATAAGGATGATTTGAGCTGTTATGTATGACTGTGTCCGTGTGTGAAGGTTTTATGGTAAATGGAAAAATCCAATTTGTTTTGCGTTTTCGTAATGTTTCAAACATTTGATAAAGACACGGTGTTGTCGAAACAATTGTCATGTAAAAATGT